AGCAGCCAATTCATATTCTTGACAGCAATTTGACCTCTGAAAGGTCATTGTTTGTCAAAAAAACAAGGGCCTAAGACGACTGAAAAGCGGAGTTTCCTTCTTTCGTTCTGCCGGGTAAAATCATTTACTTTAGGCAACGTTTGTAGACTAACCAACACGTACCAACGTCTGCATGTCGTGCTAGCCTTATCCTACTCTAGGCCTAGGCTAGCTAGGATGATATAGCCAAGCCTTGAAGGGACGAAGGTCCCAATGAAAAACAACGTCGCTGCTTGATTTCTATTTAACATCACAATAATTCATTATTAGACCTATAGTTGTTTTTTGAATTTTACTCCACAAATCTCAGCCGATACCTCGCACAACTCGAGTAACGTCTTGTATCTATTGTCGTGACGTCATGGCTCGCTGGCTCACACTTGCGATGTCTTGCACTTGTGATCAAATAACACGTTGGCTCGCACTTTGGCAACACTCTTTGGCAACACTCTTTGGCAGACAACTCGCCCCTAGAAAACCCGCCCTTGGAAACTTTCCCCATAAAAAAATGTACACTTCTAGACCATGCAGTCTTCAAAATAAAAATTGTAACCTTTGGTAATCAACTACATTTTCCACATACATAGAAATTTTTGAAACTTTATTTAAAAAAACCTAAACCACAATTCACCACTATAGACACTTTTTGACAAAAATGAAAAATTACGACTTTGTTACCCAATGAGAAGTGTTCTAATATAGACAATTGGTTGTGTCTCATATTATTTGTTATGTTTTTATTATTCATTATTTTCACTTGACTCGCATAAATAATTTTGTTCGAAGAACATTTATATGCAGTTGTACTTCGCAGCACTTCACTTGCAATTTGCAATTTCTAGTTGTTAGAATGTCTTTAACAATTGACTATAGAATTTCAGGCCAAACAATTGTGTGCCTTAAATCATTGCTTTCAAATAATTTTCCATTGTCTTAAAAATGTCGGCATTCTCGCTCAACCTGCTAAACCAGAACCATAATCATAATTACTTCTGTCGTTCTTCCCCTTCAGCAGTATGCGCATGGTAATGCTCACATTAAGCAGAGTCTAATTGACAACTGTGTACAATGTAATGTATCCATCATTTTTAATTGCTTCTTGAAGGTGTGTCCAATGAAAAATCTATCAGATGGTCAGATATGCAGAGTGATCTTCGCATGGCTAGCTTTCCAAGCGCCTCATTTACTGCTACTCGACGAACCTACTAACCATCTGGATATGGAGACTATTGATGCTCTAGCAGAGGCGATCAATGACTTCGAGGGCGGTCTTGTATTAGTTAGCCATGACTTCAGACTTATAAAACAGGTATGCTTATAAATCCATGACAGCCACAATGTTTGATATTAGAACAAAATTAGAAATGCTTGTGTACCATTATACAGGTTTCCATGGTATGTAGCAGCTTTGGTCTCTAATTAGAATAAGAAAGATAAGACATTTGTTAATTTGGGACCACAGAAAAGTGGTCTTTAATTGAAGGGAGACCTGTATTTGTTTTGGATTTCTACATAGATATAAATAATTAACATTTACGTTGCAGGTTGCTGAAGAGATTTGGGTATGCGAAAAACAGACTGTAACCAAATGGGACGGTGACATCATCAAGTTTAAACAGGAGCTCAAGTCAAGAGTAATGAAGGCCAACGCCAAAGTCAAGGTTCTGAAGAAATGAACGACCGGCAGCTGAAAAGAATGGTGAATAGATGACCCACCAGGTGTTGATGTGGACGTCAATGGTCTAAGCGCATGACTTACAAGGTCGCCAGAAGCACAAGCTTGAATTTGAACCCTTTGGTCTTGTTTTTCAATGTATTGAGCATTGTTTTGGTTATGATGATCATCATATTTATAAACATATTTATTATTATCTTGATATAAATTTGTTCTCTGACAAGCTGTCATAATTTAATAGATTCGTAAATATTTCTTACTGCTTCTACTACTGTATGGATGCAAGTATAAGCCTGTCCTCTTGAAGATTAAATTGCATTAAGTTTAGTGGGTATACTTTTACCCAGGCACCAGAAAATGCAACCAGTAATGCAGATGGTAATTTTGAGCTAGGCCTAGCATTGCGTAGAGGCTGGAAAATGCAAGCGCAGTAGCATGGCTGCAGTCAAACTGGGCAGTCAAGTGCTGGGCTTGGCCTAGTTATCATCCTAGAAAAACGTTATGAAAATAATCACAAAATGCTATAGAGCCTTACATATGGATAATTATTCTTTATGATTTTCATTTTGGCAGCTCCTTTTACTTGCATCATTATGGTGAGGTTGAGGGTACATGCAATATCCTGGTTACCTTGCAAATGTGTCAAATATCTCGCACAAATATAATATAAAGCATTCACGATATTAATAGAAAAACTTGTAAAAAATTGCTGTGTGTGAAGATCCTTTTAACTGAAAACAAATTGAAAGTAATCCAGCCCTGAATAATGCAATTGTCTGCTTTGGAGGGTAATAAGCTTAGCCCAGGGGGCAGTGCCAATGCCGTTGGTCAGCATCTCTCCTAACAGGGTTTCCAGGCCTGTACTCAGTAAACTGTATGCCTCTGAAGTCAGTTATCCCAAGCTTAACAGCATATACATCTAACCTACTTCTAAATGCCTAGCCTGGTTTACAAACACGTCTCTTGGTTGTGTATGACGAGGCTAGCTGCCTAGCTTATGCCTTGGATATGTGTAGTTTGTTAACATGGGTTCTGGCTTTTTGCTACCCAAAATGTTCCTACCCCTAAGCCTGTTGCAGTAATGAAATATGCATCTTTGATTACTTTGTCAGTACAGTACGTTGTTTACTGCTTTATCACATCTTTTGTAGCCAAATTATTTTTCTTAAACCTCACTAAATGTTTAACAGTTTCACTTGCATGCATTAGGACATTTTTACTATAAACTAATAATTTTTTAAAAGTATATTAATTTATAGATGCTTGTTATACCACCCTTAAAATTACCTTGGAGCACTATAGTAGGTTGCTACTAAACAGGTTATCCATTATAAACAAGATAAATTAACTTTTTAACTGATAAAAAATGGTAATGAAATGAATTGTGTTAATAGGAAATACAAGTAAACGCTGCAGCTGTTAATTTTTCACTAACAATGTTCTGCTACGATTTAAAAACTTATTTAATTTCATCCAATTTTTATATCACGCCTCATCAGTGTTACATTAATTTTATCAATATACTGCAGTATAGACTGTATGTTGATAGAAGACAGATAGTAATGCTCTTTTCATCTCTATTCTATTGTAGCAAATTCATTCCCTTCAGTGTACATGGAGATATATCAGACCATTATTCTATGGTTAAACTTGATGTGCTTATTTCAATACATACCCCACAGCCAAGACAATTGTAATAATATAAAAGAAAAAGTAATACAAAATTAAGTGCATGGTTGAGAATGAAATGCCTTAAATTTTTGTAATGAATTATTAGTGGCAAAAAGCAGGGTGGCAAATGGCCTATCACTTCCTCTCTATCCCTCTGCAATGGTAATTGACCAGACCTACCATAGACCGCTTATGTTTTCTCCGAGTAAAATAGTCAACTTTATATGTAAAAGTGTGTGTACTTAGGATTATGAAAATACAGGTATATTAAATATTATACAATAGGCGCTCAATACGTCGTTTTTGTTGTCTTTTTCAACATCGTAATGGTTTTCTTTAACAAACTATTAAAACACCTTGCTGCTGCTGTTTGTCCTTATCAACTTTTAGAGTATCAGAATATCATTGTTACTTGGTATTTATATTGCGCCTTTCCTTCTAGATTACAAAGCGCTTTGTTTTCCCTGGTCATTTGGTCCACATGCTTGAGTTTTGCTGCCATATTGGCACAGTAGCAGGCAACCAAACCAGGTACCCATTTTCATTCCTGGGTGGAGAGAAGCAACGCAGATGAAGTGCCTGGTCAAGGAAACAAGCGAAGTGTAAAGCGAGGTTGGAAAACCAAACCATTCCTGCTGCACCAAACCGATCCTTGTTTTGATGCCATTAAGCACTGCATGGTGATAGTGAATGCCAATGTGACAATAAACCATGAAAAAGATTGCCTTTCAAGAAAAAGCACACAAGATTTTCCCTTGGGTATTACCATTGTATGTATGTATCATAGTCGGATGACTGAGCGGTTAATACATAGGCGCTGCAACGCAAGGCATATAGGCGCTGGTTTAAACCGCATGCTCGTCTACGGTTTGGTGGTTTAACAAGTCCAATCAGGACTAAACCGTAGGCCCAGTGTGCATAATTTGGCTCATGTGTATCCAGTACATCTTTAGAGACAAGTAGGGCGTATTGAAGAGACCCTTAGGTGAGAAGCAAGTTACTGTAAGATCAGTCATTGAGCGCTTTGAGACCATGTCGGTATAAAGTGCTATATAAATCAATGGAACTTACTGGAGTGTCAATCAAACTTAACTGACCAATCAGAAGAGGACCAGGAATGTGCGCGCATCTCACAAACACACGTCGTCCCACAAACGCACATGTTTGCGTATGTTTTAACACTGTTGTTTTGTGAGAATTTATCAACAATAACCAAGGGATGGAGCTTAGCTGAAAATCCTACTACGTTTGAATTTCATTCTTCAAGACAAAGCATCTCTGCACAGTTGTTGTGGTTGTGCTTTATCAGCACCTTAAGAGATTTGGGTTCAATTCAGAATTTATAAAGCATGGCTTCCATTCGGCAAAAAACGATTACTGGGGTTGTTCATTGAGAGCACGAAGCATATATAGGAGCATGTGGCCCAGCGCGTAAGGTGTTGGACTTCTGACCGTGAAATCGGGAGTTTGAGACCAACACTCGTCGCATTGCTTCTGTCCTTGGGCAAGACACTTTCCTTTCGTTTGTCTCTCTCCACCCAGGAGTATAAATAGGTATCTGGTAGGATAATGTGGCATTGCAAGTATTACTGTCTCGGCATTAAATTGTACGCAAGGCTAGGAATACAAGTGGAGGAGGTTGCACTTTGTGCTGGTTTGATTATGGGCCCGATGACCAGGGGTAATAACATCGCCAGTGCTTTGCATCCCTTGGCAAAAGGCGTGGTATAAATCTCTATATTATTATTATTATAACTGTAATCCGATGGTTTTGGAGTCAAACCAGACATTTCTCAAAACACGAAACAACTTGCTGAGCCTCAAAGACTTTGTTTAATGAAAATTCCATCCAGTGAATGGCAAGTGTACATGCATATTTATTTTTTTAGATATATTTTGTATATATTCTCTGCTTTGTTTTGTAGTTTTTGTTTAACGTGGGGAATGGGTCAGCACAAGCACCCCCACAAAATATAAATGTTAACATTATTATTAATCAATTACTTTAGAAAATTTCATCAACCATGAAGGTATTACAATAAACTGTTGCTAAAATTTAAAAGAATAAATCTATAGAGATATTAAATAACCCCATATTAGACTAGTCCTGTGAGAATATTCTGTACCTATGACATAATAGGACTAAGCCTGCATACATGGATCATCTTCAGATTAAAAAAAAAAATCTTTTGTGTATATAATTAAAATGATCAATCAAAATAATTTTTCCAGGCTACATGTTTTGTTTACTTCACAAAATGGAAATAAATATAAGACTTAGGAATCTAAAATACTTCCTGATATTGTTTCTATTTTCAAGATTGCTTAACTTTTTTGTGCTTCGATTCTGTATCATGCACAGTGTTTGAAACACTGCTAAATAGAGTTTTATTTAGGTTCTCATCCTGGGAAACTTTGCGCTTTTTGCCCATGAGAGTCTTTATATCATCACTTGAATTGCCACCAATTCTTATGTCGCCTGGTGTATCAACATCTGCAGATTCTTGACTTAACTCCTCATATATTGCAGCATCCTCCATTTCAGAGATCTGTTGTAGGATTTCTTCGTCGTCTTCCATGTCATCCTCAATGAAAGATCGTTCAAAATATGACAAAATGTCTTTCTGTTTTGGATCCTGTAAAATAATCAAAATGCAATGTAAGGCGAAGAGTTTTGGTGCAACGGTTGTGGCTTGCTACGGAAGACAAGTTATCTGTTTGTCTCTCTCCACCCAGGAGTCTGAGTGGGTGCTTGGTAAAATCTAGTACCAAGGACTGCTGCTTATGAAATGGTGCTCCCCAGGCAGTGGAGGTGTCAAAAATTTGCTGACAGGGGAGTTCAAACCAAGGGTCCGACTAGAGCCTTGGTCAGGGTTGTGGAATAAAAATCTCTGGTGCCGTTCACAGGTTGAGTTGTTAGGCTTAGTATGGCCCAAAATAACATTTGGATGCAAATTATTTGTGGCTTGTGCCACCACTGTCCTCAGGGTGCTGAGAATGTGTTTCATATGCATTTGATCCATTCAATCTATGTAACATATTAGTATATTGCGATATAGAACATTGAGTATTGAGTGACGGTAAGAAGGTTGGGGGGGGGGTGGTAATACAATAACGTGAAGCGCAGAGGCAGTTTATTGCTATTAGTGCATGCCGATTTATTATTATATTTATATTTGAAGAAAAACATTAAAGTAAAAAATACAGTATACTGATTCAATGATATGCTAGCCTAGCTACACTAAACATGGATTCAGATACTATTCAGCCAATCTCTCCAAATACACTGTATATATTCATTTATTATTCATTTACATTGTGTTGAGTAACTTGCCTTAAAATTGGTCATGTCAGCATTGTTGAAATTGTCTTTAGACAATCCTGCCTTTCCAAGAACTTTTAGCTTCTCTTGTATAAGTGGCCTGCAGAAAATAGAAGATGTAAAACAACTTATTAACAATACTTCAGGCTGTATTTGTATCCTCTGGTTATCTAGTCAAAAGTAGAATCAAAATATTTTTTCATTCTGAAAACATTCTTTTATACACATTTTCGCTAATCGTCAAGATTGGATATAGATAGTTCGGACTTGTCATACATTTAAATTACATATGGTGTCAACAAGTGTAAACAAACTATATACTGAGTAACTAGTTCATTTATTGGATTTGCTTTGTGATTCTTTACCATATATAATCATCAGCAGTGTTCTTTGCAACCAGATAGCGAATCATTACACACTCTTTCTGACCAATGCGGTGTACCCTATCCTCTGCTTGCATCAAGATCTGAAACAGAATCAGATCATTATTAAAATTTAAAAGTATAATTCAATCCCTGTAAAAAATGTACAAATCCTGAGTTCGCAATAATTGTTGTGGTACCTTCAATGCCTGCCTACAAATTTTATTGACTTTTAACAAGGTATAAAGATGGTCATATTTCAGTAGGAATATCTCAGAATGTCTGTTTAATCTATCATGTGAATCAGGTACAATACAATGCTGTGAATAATAGCGATACTAGGCTTGGAATTACCTTTTACTAATCTACACATCTTCTATACATTTCCCATGATAAGTAAAAGCAAATTGAGAACTTACTCCAGGATTCCAGAAGAGTTCTGCAAAGATGACGAGGGATGCTGCAGTGAGGGTAAGACCGGAGTTGGCAGCTGTGATTGACAGGACCGCCGCCACACACTCGTCATTCATTTGGAACACATCACAGTTCTCTTGCCGTTTTTCTAAACTTGTCGATCCATCAATACGCATGAATCCCTTTTTCTGATGATGATGATAAGTCTTAAATTATTGTTCAGTATATTGAAAAACAAAAATTTCTTATAAATTTTGAATGATAGCAAAAAAATAAATAAATAAA